TGGAGAGTTCATCTCCGTCCCAGGCAGTCCAGCTGGATCTGGGAAYGGTTCCCCATAGTCGTTGCTGTCCCCTGACGCTTGGCCATAGCACAAGGCACACGTAGCTGCATCCAGCAGCGTGCAAGCTCGCCGTTGCACAGAGCAGCTTCCTTTGGGAAGTGCTTATCTCATCCCAAACCAAATCCACATGCTGTCAGCTGGGGCTGCCTTTCCTTCCACGTGTGCCGAGCAGGGCCCAGGTGCTGGTGCTGTGAGTGGCTCTGTCTCCTCCCTGGCTGTCCTGGGGCTCGTCTCAGACATGGGCAACCCAGGGGCGAAGGTGCCATCCTCGCCTGTAAGCCCAGACCCTGGGCACAGTGAGAAGGGGCTGTGGGAGCCAAGGGAGAAGATGGAAAGTTCCCTGTCTCCCTGAGCCCCTAGGGCTTGGCCCACTCGTGTGTGCTAGAGCCCATCCGCAAGCTGCTGGTTGTGGGGGAGCAGCTGCCAGCRGGGAGCAACCAGGCAGGGCCTCCCGTTCCTGTTTTCCCAGCTTTCAGGGGTGCTGGAGGCAGTTTCTCCTGGCACGAGCTCCTGGGCAGGGCTCCTTGGCGGCYGCCGTGTCTGCACGGATGTGGGTGCCAGGTAAGGGAGGGCGCGGTGGTTCCCCCCGGCAAGGGCGCAGGATGCGCGTCCCCAGCCCAAGCCCAGCGCGGCCCTGCCGCTGGCTCCTCGCCCAGCCTGCGCCCAGCGGGGCTGCTCCCTGCGGCTGCTGCCTCGCTTCTCCAAGCGGAGGCCTGGTCTGGTTATGGAGGTGCAGGTGAAGGCAGCTGGGTGTTGGGAAAGGCCATTGCCCGAGGCTCCCCTGATGCCGCAGGTATTCAGAGAGGGAGCAGGCACAAAAGCCCGTGTGGTGCCCACGCTCTCAGCCACGGGGCTGGGTGTTTCGTGTTCCTCTGTCCGGGCTGCACAGACCCCACGGCACCTTCAGAGGCCTGGGCTGCTCCCCGCCGGCCGCTCTCCCGGTCTGCTCCGCTTGGAAGAAGCTGAGTCCGACATTCCTACGTCGGCTGTGCTCCGGGCGGTGGTTTTTGAGAAGCGCTGGCTTTTCACTTCTGCGGTGCCTTGCTGGAAAGCCGTGTGCTTCTGGGATGAGTCACGGCGGCCGGAGCCCAGCGCGCCGCCCGCACCGGGCAGGCAGAGCGGCCGATAAGGCAGCGCGATAGGGCAGCATGGGCCGCATGCCCTGCGCCAGGRCCCCGGGAGCCGGCGGCTCCCAAGCCTGCGCCTGACCCCAGCTGCACCACCCTCGGGCAGCGGGGAGTTTATTTTGGGAACGGCAGCTTGGGAAAGTCTCTCACGCGAGCTGAGGGATGGGTGGATGGATAGCGTTTTCCAGACTCCCCTTCTCTGGGCCCAAAGTGCAGCTGTTGCTGCAGGAGCAGGCAGCAAGCAGGGTGGCACAGCCGGGCAGCTCCAGCCCAGGGCTCCCTGCAGTCCCGCACGTCCCATGGCCCTAGACCCACGTGGGTGCTGGCCGCAGCCCACGCAGGACGGCTGCCGCCCGTAAACGTGAAGCAGAGTCAGTGCTCAGCTGCTGCCGCACGCCCCGTTCCCACGATCCCTGCCGCCTTCCCCTGGGTCTCACCAAAGGCTCCCTCCTGGGTCCCTCTAGCTTTTTCGTGTGTGTTACCAGCTCTCTGCCACAGGGTCCCCATTCCCTGCACCCTGGCGTGTTGCTGTGCAGGACGGACCCAAACCCACTGGACATCTCTGTGTGTCCCTCCTCCCGCGCTCTCTGCTCCCTGCCCTGCTCTCGAGACGCCGGGTGGCTGCGCTCTGCCAAGGGCTGCTCCTGTGTCAGAGCGCGCACGGAGCCGGCAGYGGGGGCTGCTCCTGTCTCGGCAGCTCGTTATCACTCATGGGACCTGGGCTGTGGCTGCTGCAGCTGCCGGAAACGTGGGTGGCCTGAAATGGGATCTGTGGAGTGAAGAGAGGCCGGTGGCTAGCACAGTGCTGCAGGCTCGAGAAAGCCTAAATGGGACCCTGGACTTGCTGCGTTATCTGCCCAAAGACTTGCTCCCGTTGCATCCCTGCCCTGTCTGGGTGTGAGCATCGCCATTCCGCCCCATGCCAGACCTATCTCCCCAGCACCCACGCTCATGGGCTCCCAAGCGGGATGCTCGGCCACGGCAGCAGCCTGGCCTCCAGCAATGCCCTGGCCGTGGCCACGGCAGAGCCCTGCAGCAGGGAGCAGCAGGTGCCCGCTCCCGTCGGAGGGATGTGGGTCAGCACTGCTGCCCTGGCTCCCGGGCACACCACGGGGCCGGGCTCCCCGCCTCACCATGCCCAGGGCCGAGACATTTCCAGCATGGCACTGCCAGATGGAGCAKCCCTGCTGCTGTCTGCTCCCCGCTGCCTGGTTTTCCCAGCCAGTTCCCAGGAGCGTGGAGAGCTGTGCCGGTTAGGCATGCTGCAGGAAGGAAGCAGGAAGAGCGCTGTGCTGAGCGTCACCGCTACCACGGATGCTCAGCTGGGCCTGGGAATTCCCCCCGGGAACAGGATGTCTGAGCCCCCATTTCCCAGCCACCATCTACCCCAGGCAGCCCTCTCGCAGCCTGGACTTCCTCTCTTGCTATTTCCAGTAACCAGGGTCAGGTGTGTGTGCAGACGGGGACACCTCCGATGCTGTGGAGAGCCCTGAGACTGACATCCCTTTCCTGCGGGTGGAAACGAGGGGAGCCTTGATGCACTGCTGCGTGGGCAGCTTTGGCTGCAGGCATGACCAGCACCTCCTTAAGGTGGGAGTGACACCCTGCCAGGGCTGGGGTGTGCAAGGCAAGCACCCCAAGGAGAGCCCCAGACCAGTCCCGGGCACGTGGTGCAACAGCAAAGACGAGACTGCAGCCYGGGGGCCTGGCCAGGTTGTTGGGGTGCACGGCTGTGCCCCATCAGGGGCTCTGGAGCTGTTTGCAGCCAGCAGGCTTGCCACGCCGGCTGCTTTTCCTTAAACCAAGGCCTTGGGCTTTTTAARGAAGAAAGTGAAATCACTGTCTTCGAGACAACCGATCTGTTTGCTGAGGAAGCACGAGTTGGAAGGAGCGCTGCTGCTGTGATTTCCCTAACCCCGACACTGCCCCTGTGCTGATTCATTGATTTGGACGGGTTATATACTGGGAGGGGAAGCGTGAACCGCACTCGGCTGGCTCGCCAGCGCGGAGCACGGAGCGGCGCTCGCTGCGAGCACTCGGCTGCGCGACGCACCGGCCGGTAAGTGTCCGCGGGACAGCCGGGGCTCCGAGCGGGGCTGGGGGATATGGGGGCTCAGCAGCCCTGCTGCTGCTATCACATGAGGTGCTCGGCTTGCAAGGGGTCTCCAAAAAGAAAAASAAGTCATCTTGGGGATCGTGGGAACTGAAATATTTACTTAGATAAAGTACTGCAAAAAAATAGCGTTTCTCTTTCCCTCTTATATTTTGCTTTTCCTCCCTGCATGTTCCTTACGGGTTAAGCTCAGGAATGTTTGGATGCTGAGGTGCATGAGTTGAATGATAGAGAATATTCAGCTTCTCTGCAAGTTTTTGTCCCTAGAAGAAGAAGAAAAAAAGAAGACAAATTGTTTTCAGCTGTCTTTCCTGAACCGCGCTCCAGCTTGGATGCTCTCGAAGCGCACTTAACAGGGAGTGACATGAGCAGGGCTTTTGATGTGCAAGGCGCTCAGTGAAATTTATAAACTGCCTGCTATAAACAGAACTGTTCTCGGACGCAGATTGTTTCCACATGTAAAACAAACCCTGCTGGTTCTGAGAGGGCTGTCCCCTTTCTCCGGAAAGCCAGTATTTTCCCTAGCAGGAGAATGGGACTTGCAGGAGGGAGCTGTGCCCTGCCAGCAGTAGATGATGCCCGTGTCTGTGGGGTGGGTAAGCCCTTGCCCACTGCAGAGCAGCGGCTGCTCTGAAGCCAGGGGAAAGGCACCAAAATCGGACCCACCCTGCCCTGACAGGCGGGTTGCAGCAGTCACGGTGGGCGGATGTCTCAGCCCCGGCTGATTTTGGCCACGAGAGCAGAATGCCTCACGTGGACACCCACACGCAGGCTGGCCCGGGGCCACAGCGCCTGCRAGGGGCACCCAGTGCCCTGCTGGCACAGGAGCCTTGGCCACGTCTCCTGGGCGATGCYGGTGGGTGGGTGGCCGTGCCCTGCGCTCGGGCACAGCCTGAGCTCCCGCCCTGCGCGCAGCTCCCTGGCGCGGTGCCGCTGGACCCGTCTCGCCGAAAGCTTTAGCTGCCGAAAGGGCTTTTGTAGCTTGACCGTGTCCGGGGAGCGGCTGCCCACGCTGCTCTTGGCTCCGGGACAGCAGTGCCGAGCGCTGGTGGCTGCATCATGCCTAGAAAGTGCCTGGTGGGAGCAACTTCTCTCACCCATCCTGGTATCCCTAGGCCCCGCTTGACTCTGTGTGCCCTCGGCTGACTCTGCTAGCTGCTGGTTTCAGGGTTTTCAGTGTTGCRCAGTGCCGGGAGGCGAGTGCCCATCATTGCAGCAAATGATTCTGCGCTGCAGAACAGGAAACCACACTCCCAGCCGCTGYGGGCTCCGGAGGAGCGAAGGGAGTCGTGGCCCTGCGCGGAGGGCGCCAGGGATGCCACTAACAGCTCTGGTAGGGCAGCGAGGCGCCCAGAGCCCCGGCTCCGGCTGGTCAGCGCCCCCCGCAGCTCCCCTGGGCTCCAAGGCCGGAGGCTGGGAGTGCAGCAGCTCCTGAGACCCCACTGGCTCTTTTCAGGGAGAAAACAAGACGCTGTCCCCAGGGGCAGTGCTYTGGCAGTGGGATGAGCCTTGGCGCTCAGCCTTTTCCCACACCTTTCTCCTTTGGCTTTTCTTGGCTGTCCCTCAAAGCAGCCAGCTTAACCTGCCRCTTTGGGAGATGTTGCAGGGTGACTGATGGTACGGGAGGCTCCGGCCAGCTCAGCTGCAGCGCCCTGGGAAAGCCCAGCACTGAGCTCCACTTTGCTTTCCCTGCAGGACACATGGAGCAGAGTGGCTGGCTCCTGCTGCTCGTGGGCTTGCACGCGGCCTGCGTYGCCCGTGCGCAATGCCCAGAGCAGTGCCAGTGCGTCCGCACCGCCCAGGTGGAGTGCTCCGGTGCCGGCATCGCTGCCGTCCCCAGCCCCATCCCTGCCAACACCATGACCCTGCAGATCATCAACACGCGCATCACGGAGCTGGGCGCCGCCTCCTTCGGCAACGCCTCCATGCTCATCGGGCTGCGCATCGAGAAGAACGACCTGTCRCGCCTCAGCCCCAGGGCCTTCCAGTACCTGCCCTCCCTGCGCTACCTCAGCCTGGCCAGCAACAAGCTGCAGGAGCTGCCCTTGGACGTRTTCGAGCCCTTGGGCCAGCTGGAGTCGCTGCTCCTGTCCAGCAACCAGATCCTCCACGTTGAGCCCTCCCACTTCGCCCAGCTGAGCAACCTCAAAGAGCTGCAGCTGCACGGCAACAACCTGCACGAGCTCTCCGAGGGGGTGTTCGACCCACTCACCAGCCTCACCAAGCTGAACCTGGCCAGGAACAACATYGAGCGCCTGCCACCCCAGGCCTTCGAGCGGCTGACACGGCTCCAGGTGCTGCGGCTGTACGAGAACCGGCTCCGGCACATCCCTGCGGGCACGTTTGATGGGCTGCCGGAGCTGGAGGAGCTGGGGCTGCACCAGAACCAGCTGGAGACGCTCTCGCCAGAGCTCTTCACACACAACGAGCGCCTCCAGAAGCTCTATCTCTCCAACAACCTCATCACCGCTCTGCCCAGTGGTGTCTTCCTGCCCTTGCGTGCCCTCTCCAAGATCACCCTGCACGTCAACCGGCTGCGGGAGATCGCCCCTGGTGCCTTCGGGTCCATGCCCAACCTCAAGGAGCTGTGGCTCTATGACAACGAGCTCACCRGCCTCCCTGAGGGCATCTTCAGCAACCTCACCGAGCTGCAGCTCCTGGTGCTGAGCAAGAACCAGCTGCGCTCGGTGTCGGCGGGAGCTTTCCGGGGCCTGGGCGAGCTGCTGGAGCTGTCGCTGCACAGCAACGCGCTGCAGCGCCTGGACGCCGGCGCTCTGCAGGGGCTGCCCAAGCTGCAGAACATCTCGCTGCAGAGCAACCAGCTGCGGGGGCTGCCGCGGGGCCTCTTCGAGGCCACACCGGCGCTGAGGAAGGTGCAGCTGCAGGGCAACGTCCTGGAGAACCTGCCGGCGGGCGTCTTCGCCCCGCTGGCCGCCCTGCGGGAGGTGAGGCTGCACAACAACTCCTGGCGCTGCGACGAGAAGATCCTCTCCCTCAAGACGTGGCTGGAGGCCAACCAGCACAAAGTGGGCGAGATCCCACCGGTGTGTGCCCTGCCGCTGCTGCTGCGGGGCGCTCCCATCGTGGGGCTGCAGCGCGAGCAGCTGCTCCCCGACGGGCTGCCCACCACGGCCGAGCCAGAGCGCTTCCCGGCCACCTCCCATCCCAGCACCGCGCTCTCGGCACAGCCACCTGCTCCAGCCGCCACGGCCACGGAGATGGGGCACCCCACGGGGCTGCCGACTGCGCCCGGCCTTGCCGAGGAGGAGCAGGAGGAGAGGGGGCAGTGGGGGCTGACGCGGGTGCAGAGCGGGGTGGTGGTGGCAGTCATCGTGCTGGTGTGCACGGCCCTGCTCTGCGCTCTCGTGGCGCTGGTGGTCTACAGCTGCAGGAAGAAGAGCAATATCGTGCTCATGAGGATGAAGGCGCCCAACGAAGCCTGAGYGCAGCGGCCGGCAAACCCTTGGGGGAGCGATGTTGGTGAGACAGCCCCTTGGTGCTGCCCGTGACGGGGGCTGGGACTCCTGGCAGCGACCTTGCACCCGCTGCAGTGGACAAGCTGGACGGGCCAGCATTGCTCCGCATYCCCCACGCTGCTCTGCTTTGCCTCRTGCAGGCCCTCTCCTGCAGGGAGGTGACACCCCACAGTCGCCCCRGCTCCTCTGCAGCCCCTCAGCTCCAGCACATTCTCTGTGCTCACCCCCTGCACCTCGGGGTGTCCCTGGGGCCCAGCAGGGTAGGGGCTGCCCAGGGCTCGGCAGGTTGCTGCAGCTTGGCCGTGCTGGTGCTCTCTGGAGCAAGTAAGGCATGGTCTCACCCATCCTTCATTTGGTGTTGCCCTTTGAGCAATTCTCACCGCTTGCCCTGGCGCTGCTTCTTGCCCCACTGCAGCTCCTGGTGACTTGTGCCCTTGCTCTTCTCCCACCCTGTGCCTGGGCACGCAGGGTGCTGAACCACCACGCAGCACTGACCGGGGAGAGCAGCAGAAACCTTCACCCTGAGCAGAGCTGTGTGTCCTTGTGCTGGTTTGCAGCCTGTGGGTATCCAGGGAGTGATTCCTCTGGGGCAGGGCTGTCTGTGCCTCATCCCTGTGCTTGGACAGGGCTCCTTGGTGCTACTGCAGCTTGCACAGAGCAACCTGGCTGTGCCCAACCTGCCCCCAGGCAGCGCAGGGTTGAGGAAAGCAGCACCTTCCCCYAGCCCCATCTCAAGAACGTCCTGCCCACACTGTGCTCCTGCTGGCTGAGGGGGTCCTGTCCCCGGGGGCCGAATGGGGGTGCGTACACAGTTTGGACACAGCAGCAAATGCCCAYAGCCAAGCTGCAGACCGAGGCCTGAGCCTCGTGGTAGGCTGACCTTCCCCAGGCCCCGCTGCAGTCTCTGCTCTTGCAGCAAGCTGGAGACGGGCCACTTGTAAGAGGTTGCTGCTGTTGGGAAAGCACCAGTGCCTGGGAGAGCAGCACGAAGCACGCGTGGAGCTGGCCCAAGCGCCGGCTCTGCCAGCTGGCCCTCACCCAAGGAAGTACTTTTCAAAGCCCCTTTCCCTGCRCGGGCCCCTCTCTGGGGCCAGGAGAGGCTCCCTGCACTTGCACCGCAGCCAGGCGCGGCTGCAGGAACATCCCAGGGCTGCAGCCAGCAGGACCCCATCTAGCTCACCTCTGTGTGACCCGTGGTGCTGCAATGGTGCTGCTCCGTGCTGGGAAACATCGCCACGGGTGTCGGAGAGTCGGGCRAGGGGCACTCCCCAGTGCCCGCTGATGTCCCTGCCCTGCGCCCTGCTCTGGTGGCAGCAGGGCCCGCGCGCTCCTCCTGCAGAATAGGCTGCAAACATGTGAATATGCGTCCGTGCTGTTCAGTACCTRCTCTGTGACCTTTCTGATTAAAGTGCAATTGTCCATCTCCAGTTCCAAGAATTGTTTGTTTAGTCCTATGTGTTATGCTGCCCTGTGCCCCTGGAATAACTCAACTTCACATTATTTTCTCTCCTAAAACACATATAGATATGTGTGTGTGATGGTGTGTGCATGTATGTATGATTTGATATTTATTTATTTATAACTTTTGTTTTGAGGAGAAGCCCACATATGCTGTCTGGCATGACCAGCATGAGGATTAGCAGGTCCTGTCATCTGGACTGGCCTGGGGTCCAGACTGGGAGAAGAGACATGGGAACTTCAAGGCTGTGGGAGGTCCCAGCCAGCAAAAACAGGAGRACAGCTTCCAGAGAGAGAGTGCTGACACCTCCATCAGCTTCTCCACAGAGACGCTTCCTGCAGTCCTCTCTCAAGACACAGGTTCAGTGGCTTTATCAGGTTTGGCCCTGGGGTGGTGGAGCTCACTCRGCTCTCTTTCAAGCCAGCTGCTGGTGATTGGGGCAGCCTCTGCTTCTGACACAGCTGAATTTCTTCACACCTGAGCAACCTGCCTCCATTTGTGCACCCAAAACCACTTAAGTACCCTGGGAGAAGCATTCAGCTCTACCAGGGAGGTGCTAGGCTTTTGGGATCCTGGCTGGTCTGTAGGCTTTGTTTGACCTCACATAAGCATCCCAGACTGGAAAGCACTCAATGCAATCAATATTGCTGGCTCTGCTCTCCTAGATGCACAGTGCTGTTCCTAGAGCCTTACTGGCCATGCTGCTCTTGCCTCACCATGGTTTGGGTTTGCTTTGGTAAGCCTTGCCTGCATCCCTCRCTTACTCAGGGGCACTTGTTGGTCTCATTCTTCAGTGATGTTTATTAAAATCCAGAAAGGGTTTTGGAGGGCTGCTGTGAGCAAGTRTGCTAGACTTTGGTGTGGGATGGGTGTCACTGGTGCCAGCAATGCCCTGCCACTGCCCTGGRGCTGGTGCACCTTCTGGGACATGACGCTGCCTCCCTGCCAGGATGCTAGCTCCCTGCTGGCTTTGTTTTGCGCTCTGAGTGCGTTCACCTCCATTCCGGCTGGGCCGGGTTGTTTCCGAAGCGCTCCAAGGACACGGGTTGCTGCTGCCGATAAGCAGAAATGGGCAGCTCCGCCCCAGCAGGGACGTTTCGTCAGCTGGCTTCAACATCCGCCCCAGAAAACATCTTCCTTTCTGGAGTTTTGCTTCTGCAAATTCACAGTGGAGCTGGTCACGGTACCCGTGATGCTGTTCTTGGTAAGTGGCAGCCTCTTGGCTCAGGTAGCTGGAGAGAAGGGCTTGCTGAGGGACCTGGGTGTGCTAGGAACTGGTTTTGGCTTTGTGTGAAAACATGGCAGAAGCTAGAAAGGAAGACAGGCCCAATTCAACTCTCGGACGTTGGCACAAATCTAGAGCACCCCTCATTTGAACGGGATTTCTCCAGGTTGTTATCACTGCAAAGCAATATTCAGCTCTGGGCGCTGTGCTCGCGTCCAGCTTTCTGGCAGCACCTGCATGTGTCCTGAGCTGTGGCCTGGAGGCCACTGCTCTGCTCAGGCTGTCCCCCGTGGGCTGGCAACAGGCACGTGGTCAATCAATATCCTGCAGGCCTCGGTGCTGCTGCTCCACTCACTTGGGACTGCCTGAGCTGCTGGGGCACCTAGACCTCTGCCAAACTACCCTGCCCGCTGCTGCTGGGTGGAGAAGGTTACCTGGGTATGTGTAGGACACTGGTCCTGTTCCAAAGCTGCTTCCAAAGGCTGCTTTGAGAAGTCCTTTGCTCGCTGGACACTGCCTGGGGGAGTGTGTCCTGCCACATGCAACCCCCGGATCTTCTCTCCACACTCCAGCACTTTGGCCCTTGGTCCCTGCACAGGCATGCATACACACACACACCCTTATTGCAAACTTGGGTCCAAAATCTTAATGAGAAATAGAAGGATGTAACAGGCACCTAGAAATACAGATAACGGAGCCTGCTCACTTGGGCCTGGATTGGCCCTGTCTGCTCTGCAGTGCTCTTCCTGCCATGCGGTGCCAGTAGCTACAGAGATGTGGTCAGGCTCCTGTGGGGCCTCAGGGAGATGATGCAGGCACGGCTTCGGCCATGGCCCTGCAGGACACGGGGCCTGCCGTCGAGTGTGGCACAGCCCTGGTTGTCACGGGTCAAGAGCAGGGCTGGGACATAGATGGAAAAATGTGGATGCACTGAAGGGGAGGGGTTGGGAAGTGCCCTGCTCCCGAGAAAGCCAAGCAAGGGCATTGCTGGAGTGATTTGCAGGATGCAGGATGATCTTGTGGGCTGGGCACGCTGTATTTCTCAGCACAAAGGCCACTTCTCCTGGGGTGTAGATTTTTGTGCTACTGAAGCAGTGTGTGGGGCGGGACTGGCCACAGCACCGGGATGAGCCTTCGTACCTTCTCCAGTGCAGGGTGATGGTCTACATGGTGCTGGGGCTGGGGTCCCTGCTGGTGGGAGGGTTCCCCCAGCCCTGCCCTCCGTCCTGCCAGTGCTACGATGTCTCCAAAGTCTTCTGCTCGGACGAGAGGATGCGGGAGATCCCTGTGGGACTGCCAGGAAATGCCACCCAGCTCTTCTTTGTGGAGACGGCCCTCAGCAGCCTCCACAGAGGGGCCCTGGGCTCCAGCAGCACCCTCACCAAGCTGGTTTTCCTCAACAACAACATCCAGGCGCTGGAGGCTGGCACGTTTCAGGGGCTGCCCAATCTCACGGAGCTGGAGGTCTCGGGCAACCCRCTGTCGTTTGTCAGCCCCGGTTTCTTGGCTGGCCTCCCCAGACTCAGCAAGCTCTCTCTGGGATCCAATGCCATCCGCTCCCTGAAGCCAGGAATCTTCGGTGCCGTGGGCTCCTTGCAGGACCTGCGTTTGCGGAGGAACAAGATTGAGGCGCTGCCTACCGAGATCTTCCGCCCGCTTCGGCACCTCCAGGTGCTGGACCTCTCCCAGAACGTCATGACTGAGCTGCCCCTGGGGCTCTTTGCTCCCCTCACCTCCCTCCGTGTCCTGAGGCTGAGCGACAACCTGCTGGCCTGGCTGCGGCCCAGCGCCTTCAGCAGCCTGGGCCACCTCGTGGAGCTCCACCTGGGCGGCAACCGGCTGGGTGAGCTGCCACGTGAGGCGTTCGCGGGCCTCGGCGGGCTGCGGCGGCTGCAGCTGCAGCACAACGCCCTGCGCAGCCTGCGCACCGACGTCTTCTCCTGCCTCCCCAACCTCACCTCCCTCAGCCTGGAGGGCAACCGGCTCGCCGCGCTGCCGGACACCCTCTTCTGGGGCACCCCGCGGCTCCTCGACCTCTCGCTCGCCCGCAACTGCCTGGAGACGGTGCCTGAGGGCGTCTTCGCCAACCTCTCGGAGGTGCAGACCCTGGCGCTCTCGCACAACAGCCTGGCCCACCTCCCCGCCGGCGCCTTCCAGGGCCTCTCGAGCCTCACGGTGCTGCGGCTCAGCCACAACAACCTCTCCAGCCTGGCGCCCGGGCTCCTGGCAGGGCTGCCGAGCCTGGTGGTGCTGGCGCTGGAGCACAACCGCCTGCCACAGCTGCCCACGGGGCTCTTCGACGCCAACGAGGAGCTGGCGCGTGTCGGGCTGGCGGACAACCCCTGGGTGTGCGAYTGCCGCCTCGCCTACCTCCTGGGCTGGCTGCAGGAGTTCGCCGAGCCCCTGCTCCACACGGCGGCCRCCTGCGCCGAGCCCGGGCCCATGAAGGGACGGTCCCTCCTGGAGGCAGCAGGACAGTGGCTGCCRTGCCAGAGGGAGCCGCCACCAGTGAAGGAGGAGGAGGAGGATGATGATGAGGAGGAGGAAGTGCCTGGTCCGTGCACCTACAGCGATGCCGAGGGCAGCGTGCAGGCGGCCTGCGACGCCGCGGGCTGCCGGCAGCTCAGCCTGCGCCTGCCCGAGGCGGCGGCGGGGCTGCCCTTCCAGGGCGCCTGGGTGCTGCGCTCCCGCTGCGGCGTGCTGCACGTCAGCGTCAGCCTCAGCATGGCAGCGCCGCGCGGCGCCCAGCCCGCCGGCCCCGCTGCTCCCTGAGGGCTCTGCCCCGCCTGCCCAAAGACGCCGAGAAACGCCGCTCCGTCCTACCAGTCTCCCCTGCCGCTGTTGCTGTCTGTCGCCAAATGCAAGAGCTGGCTGTGGGGGGTTATTCCCCCGCCAGGTGTTTCCTGTTGATTTCAAGTATCATTAAATTGTATATATCTACTTTGTGTGGCCAGTTCCCAGGGCGGAGAGAAGAATGGGGCTTAAGGCAACTTGTGGGAAGTCCCAGCCATGCTGTCCATCCAGGGAGGCAGGTAGGTCATGTCCATCCCTAGAGAAGGGATCCTGCAGGCAAGTGTGTGTGCATGACCCACCAGGCTCWGGGACCATCTACCCTGCATGCTCAGCACAACTTTCTCCCTGTTCCCCTCTGGAACAAGCAGTTTACTGTGCAGTGTTGCTGCACCATCTTGTGGCCAATGGGACACGGGCCTTTCCTGTGCCAGAGASAACTCAGTTGGCCTAGAGGAAGCCTGGCCACCAGCTGGGGCTGCCCCGGGCCTCCTGGCTCTGCCTGAACTTAGAGGAACTTGAGGTCTTTTCTTGAGGACTTGCTGGATTTGCTCTCCCTGGTGGCTGCTGTTCTGGGCCCCGGTGCTCTGGGACCACAATAACCAGATGGTGCTTGGTGTTAGTCGGTTGCATGAAAGAACTTAGCTGGCTTGGCTGGAAAACGAGCGCTGTTAGTACTGGGGGAGGGGGACTGTTGCCTGACAGCATCGGCCTCCTTCCAGCACGTCAAGTTACAGCATCGGCAGCACARAGCCGGCCCAGCTGGGAGTCTTCTCCTTCCACAAGCACTCATGCTCACACGCACGTTTCCTGCTGCACAAAAGGTTTAATTAGCACCGTGCATGCAATGGAGGTGACCACCTTCCCTGCCACCTCCCCGGCCCCAGCTCACTGTAGGGACCACTCAGCCCTCACTGCAGGAGCTGTGTTTGCCCTCGTGTCCCTTTCCCCTTGCCTGTCCCGTGTCAGCGCACAGTGCCAAACTGCTGCTCTGTTGTAATGCAAAGGAGCTTGTGTTTGGRACATTGGAGAAGGACTTTCGGCAAGGAGAGTCAGCATGTTCTGTTTTAAGGGCAACATGCACATGGGTTTAGACGGGAGATGGGTAAGGCTGCTGAATGCGTAAATGTCATGGTTTTTAATTTGCCAGGAAAGGTGTAGTTAAGCCTGGTAAGCATGAGCTGTAAGAGATGAGAAACAAAAGTGAAATGTTCAAATGCAATTACTCTGTGGGATGTGATAAGCTCCCTGTCATTTTAAGTCTTTGAATCAGGTGGGGTTTTTCATCCCTCCAGCTGCTGCACCTGCGAGGAGCCCTGGGTGCCCCCCAGCTTGTAGGATCATGCCGGTGAGTGCAGGACACARCCACAGGTCCATTGCTGGGCAGCCTGAGCCCATGAGTGGGGCAGCGGCTGTGGGTGCCAAGCCATGGCCAGACATCGTGGGATCTGTCCAGCAGGGTCACASGTGTTGCTGCTGTAGCAGGTTTCACAAAACACCATTAGGCCAGTGCCTGCTGGCCAACTCAGGAGGAAGGGGACATTTGTATATTTTTACTAGGAAAAGCTTCGGTAAAAAATCTCCTTTTTTGTATTAATGGGAGTGGTGGCTGTGAGGTCGATGGATTACACTGAAATACGAGGCTGTGAAGACCGCTGGCTTCTGAACAGACTGGCCTGGATATCTTCAGCTTTCTGGATGTGGCTGGTCAAGTGGCTCCAACAGATAACTCCTCTRGGCTACGTGCCTCTCCTCATCTCGAGGGAGTTTCAGGAATTGCCTCCCATGCCGGCAGCCTGGCTGTGCTGCCCCTTATCTCTCTGTGCAGCGATATCATGTGAAACCAAACCCTGCGCCTGCTGCGGGGATAAAAAACTCCTTCCTCAGCCTCGCCAGGCGGAGGGACCCTTGTTTGGAGGCCTTGCTCCCCGTTCGCCTTGGCTCGCCTCCGGAGTGGCTGCAGTGGGTGCCCACGCTACGTCAGAAGCRTCGAGTAAGTGTCACGCTGCGTCAAGTAAGTGATGCCAAATGCTCCTTTTGCTCTTTAAAACCAGGAACGTACTTGGGAAGGGCAGTTCTGGAGAGAGCATACTCCCTCGACAGCAAGGCTGCGAGGCTCTGATCGCGTGCCTTTTCCTGCAGCCTGTCCTCTCTTATTCCTGCCCAAGAGAGAGGAGCAGGCTCCATGCAGCCAGCTGGGATGCGGGAGTCTTAAAAGCATTTTGCAGTTCAAAACTGTTTATTTCCATCCCCATGCACCCAGGCCAGCTTGTTCTGTCTGTGCCTGAAATCCAGGCCGTCTGCTCTGCCCCTGCAGCTGCACTTTTATTCTCTTGGCCCCCAACTTGTCTACCTGAAATAGGCTTGAAGAGAGGATGGTCAGGGAAAAAAATGGCTTTGGGCTCTGGGAAACCATAGGGAGGTAAGCCACATACATCTCAGATGTGTCTGTTTGTACCCAAAATTTTTTAGTCTTTGGAARGCTGGATTTGCTGATCTCTAAACATCTTTCTTCAGAGAGTTTCTAGGTCTTTTCATAGGAAATCTCACCTCCCGATGTAAACCTTCTCCATAGTAATCACTGGATGCCAAAAAGCAGTCCACATTCCTTTCTCTTGCTCTCACCCATGGCTGTGAATCACAAACTGAAAACTGCTGCTGGAGTGTGATGCTCGTTGTCATTAAAACAGAGCTAATGTGTTAGCTGGATGTTTTAGAACGATGTGGAAGTGGGGGACATTTGCACAGCTCTTAACTGCACCCTGTGGCTTCCACATCATGGCTCTAAATGCTGGGCATCAAATAGTTAACTTGTGGATATTAGAGAGTCTAGTCCTAAGCAAAAAGCTCAGTGTGCTCTGCAGAGGTGTCTGACCTGTACRTTCAGAGCAAACCCAAGGATGGGCACAGAGACCTACAACAGGACAGCTAGAGGAGAAAGKAAAAGGGACACAGCAGGCATCACTGCGTCAGTGTATCTGCTTCTGATAGCTCTGGGTGACACCGGGCAGTCCTGAGGAGCTCTGCTGAAAGGCTGATGTGGCACCACTGCAAGTGACCGTGAATGACATAGGAAAATGTATCCTTCCTAGTATAGGGAAGGTGCTGGGTGTCTCACTGTCCTAGCTGTTGTTACAAAAATTACAGTAATGCTGGTTATTTTTCCACTGATGTATTGCATAAAGTGGTCTGCTGTTCTAAGTGGTAAATTTATTGGCAAATTCTGAGTGAGCGAGGACGTTTGGTCTTGGCTCTCCCACACTTCAGTTGTGAGTTGGCTCTCTCTCCACTTCTCTCCATCTCTTAGTATCAACAAAAGTGAATGTAAATGCAGCCTACTTTGGCTTGTACAGTCTCTCTCTTTCATAAAGTGATTTATGATATGTGAGTAGAAGAGTGCTGAGAGCTGAATGACAGTGTCATAATTCATGAGCTGTGGACACAGATTTTATTTTTCTTCATACCTGATATCTGATTTTTTTTTTAATTTATTTTTTTTAGGACAATGTACCAGCATTTCCTTTTCCTTTTTTTCCTCTCCTTCCATCCCTATAAATGCCAAGGACAAATCTTGAGTGAAGACCAGTATGAAACTCCCAAGGATTACCAAGAAGTCTACAGAGGAAACAAAAATGATGTCAAAGAAATACCTAAAATTGCAAAGCCCTTCATTTCCGAGATGATCTTTGTACAGACTAGCGTCACTGATATAAGGAAAAGTGCGTTCAGATACATGCCTAACCTGGTCAAAATCCTGTTTATTGGCAACAAAATCAAGACAGTAGAACCAGGAGCCTTTGACGGTTTGGATAAACTGAGGGATTTGGAGATCTCTGGTGCCTCATTAGAAGAACTAGCTGTGGGTACTTTCCAAAACCTTCCAAGCTTGCGGAAACTGGAGCTGAGAGACAGCCACATCAGACATATCCCCAAAGGACTGTTCGATGGTCTGAAGAATTTGGGAGAGCTCTCTTTGCACATCAATGCGATCCCTTCTCTCCCAGAAGGCATCTTCGATTCTCTTACCAATCTAACGTTTTTGGACTTGGCTAGAAATAGGATCAGGACTCTTCCTGAGGATGCCTTTAGCAAACTCACCCAGCTGCAAGTCCTACGGCTGTATGAGAATGAGCTGCAGGACCTCCCAGAGGGATTGCTGGATGGTCAGCAGGGGCTGCTGGAGCTCAGTCTCCAGAGGAACAGGCTCAGCGTGCTGCCCACCACCCTCCTGAATAACCTACCCCACCTCGAGAAACTCCTCTTGGACAACAATCTCCTCAGGATTCTCCCACTTCAAGGYTTTTTTGGTTTAAAAAAGCTGAAACTACTGACGCTGGGTTCAAACCACATTGCGGAGCTTCCTGGCTGCCTTTTTGATGTCATGCCACAGCTCCGGGAGCTGGACCTGGGCAGGAACAGTTTGATCACACTTCCAGATGGCATTTTTAGAAACCTCACATCTCTCAACAAACTTGTCTTATCCCAGAACCAGCTAACAGYCCTACCAAGAGGAGCCTTTGCTGGGCTCAGCAAGCTCTCAGACCTCCAGCTGGACACAAATCAGCTCTCTGCTCTGGACAGTAAGGTCTTTGTTTCTCTCACAAATCTGAAAACTCTCAACCTTAGAAAGAATCAGCTGGAGAACATCCCTCACGGGCTCTTGGACCCACTGGAAAGACTCAGTTCGCTGTATCTCAGTGGGAACCCATGGAGATGTGACTGCAATCTTTTCTACCTGCACAACTGGATCCAGAACAACACTGAAAAAGTTAAATTGCCCACCCAAGTTACGTGCAAGAGTCCACCCCACCTGGCAGGGCAAGCAGTAATGTCACTGAGAGGCAACCAGTTAATTTGTCCAAATACTCCGCCTGCTTCAGCTTCTTTTAGTCCACCTCTGCTATTCGCTTCCTTGTCACCACAAGTGATGTCAACTGTGCTATCAGCCAGGGCTTTCCCAACTGCAGTGCTGACCACAGTGTCACCAGGGACCTTCCCCATCTTGGCAGTGCCGAACACAGCACTGCCTGCAGCCATTACTACCGTGATGTCAACCTTGCCACAAAAAGCTTACATCAGTTCTCCATCCTTGGAGGCCCTCATCACCAAATCATCACCAGCTGTGCTGCCAGAGGCCTTCATCGTAACCCCATCTCCAACTGTGCCAGTGGAGGCCTCCTTCAGCATTCCAGCCCTGACCATGCCTCAGAAGACTTCCTTTACCACTTCAGCTCCAACCATGCTAACAGAGGCCTCCATCAGCACCCAATTTCCAACCATGCCACCAGAGACCTCCATCACCAGCCCATCTCCAACTGTGCTGAGAGAGGTCCAGATCACCACCCCATCTCCAACCATGTCACCAGAGGTCTTCAGCTTCAGTCCAACACCAGCCATCTTAAGTCTACAGCCTCCTGGAGTCACTACCACAGAGCCCACASCATTCACACCAGCTTCTGCTGCTACCCCAGTGTCAGCCACTACCCTGGCAGCCACTGCTGGACAAATGTCACCTGTTCCTTCAGCTCCTACAGGGAGGCCAGCAGCCAACATTTTGGGCACTCCCAGCAACTCCTTTGCCTCGGGCTTTCCGTCAGTGCTCCAGCCAACCCGCAGGGCTGCTAGCCTGGGCATGACTACACCGGCATCGTACTCATCATCTGACCAAGACTCTAAGCCAAGCAAGGAGCTGGACCAGGTTGCAGTGTGGGGACAATCCACCATCAGCACCCATGCCTCAGGCACAGCCTCGCAGAAGAGTCCTGCCTGTCAGCCCCCGCTCACTCCCCTCTCAACGTCTCCCTCCTCCTCTCTCCTCACCATTGCTGCCACRTGGGACCATGAACGTGCCCAGCCAGCCTCCCTGCCCTTGTTCCCTTGCTGTCTTCATGCTTGGGGCTGCATCTYGTGCTCTAGCCACTGGTACTGCCTAGCCTCCCTCACCCTGTACTTGTCTATCCTTGTGCTGGAAATTGGTTGCACATTTCTGGGGTTGAATCTGGCCCTTCTCCTCCACAAAGCCACTTGCCGTAGAGGTGGACCTAGGGTGTTGGTGAGGCTGGTGAGTGTCCAGCCTCGGGCAGCCACATGTCCATGAAAGAGTGTCCACGGGGCTGTGAGGTGTGAGGCTGCTCCAGGGCCCCCTGAGGAGGTCCTAGCACCACTGTGATCTTTGCTGCTCCTGTCCAACCAGCCCACTTAGCGCAGCTGGTGCATCTCTGTATTGTGTCACCAGCTGCACACTGGAGAGCCTGTGGGCCTGGGGGAGCGGGGCTGCCCTGTCCCTAGTGACCCCACCTCATGGTCCCTTCAGCCAGGCGACACTAGATGGCATCGCTGCACCGGCGGTGACAGCCACCGCCTGTCCCTCTGCCAGGCACGGCCACACAGGGTGATGGCCCTGGAAAACCTACTGTGACGTGTGGAGACCCTGCTGCCAACCCTACCGAGTCGTGCTACGAACAGGTCCATGCCGGTAGGTCCACCAAGCAACTCTGCGCTCTTCCTCTCTCGTTCTTGGTTTCCACCTGACCAATATTAAAGTCTGCTGGGAGCATCATTACCAAAAAAGGGCTGATGAGAGGAGTGTTTCTGTGCCAGGCTCTTTCTCGACATGGTCTCCTGGGGTGGTTGCTCATTGCTGGTTGGGGTGTAGGGTGCCCAAACTGGTGCAAGCGGTTGGAGAGCTGCCATGGACCAGGGCTGCAACCTCTCCCGTTGGTCTATGGACACAGGCAATGACTGTGTGAGAAAATCGATGCTTTTTATTTTTTTTTTTATTTTTTTTTCTTCTCTTAAGTCTTCTGTTCCCAAAAGCTCTTTGAGATGCTGCATGTCCTGGTTTCTCTGGCAGAATAACCTGTGAATATGTCCAATCACTTTGCATACAGTAATTTAATTTATTCCCTTGGGAGGTCCCAAATACTTGGGAACTGCACCCAAAATCCAGGCTAAGTGCCAGTTTCTTTGAAGTTCAGGCAGAGGTGGGTAACTTCCCTCCTAAATGAAGTTTTGACGTGTGTGTGTTCACCTCTGCACTTCTGGGCCGCAACCAGGACCAGAAAAGGAAAGTACCAAAGTTAAACAAAAGCGCCTGTTTCTGTGGCTTTTCTGGCATGGCAGGAAGTGCTGAAATTTTCACTAGAAAGCTTTATCCCAGGAGAGTTGGAGTCTGATTTCGATGGCTTTGCAAAGACTGCTGTGGCACTGTGACCTGGACAGGACCAAAGCTCCTGGTCCCTGCAGGCTGGGCCTTTGCAGAGAGGGCCCTGCACTTGCTGTAAGGCAGGAGACGAGGCTGAGGCCGTGAGCGCTCTTGGTGCTGCTCCCTCACAGCTTCTCCCCAGGGTTAGAGTTTCGCAGCCTGGGAGCTGAACCCACGTCCCACTGGGCACAGAAATTACTGTCCTGCTGGGGCAGATCAGCAAGAGCCCGAGRATGTGAGCCGTGAAGGCCTGCAAGGCAGAAGGCAGCCAGGAGGGGCAGCTAATGATCGCGCTGAGGAGCAGGCCTCCATGGTCATAGCTGCCCCCATTTGTGGGCTACTGAGGTGTGTTGTCTCCTGCTCCTGCCTTTTCAGCATAAAAAAAGTCACAGTTTTTGCTGACGATGCTCAGCAGTGGTGACTTAGCCTGGCCCCAAGCTGAACCACCCTGGTTATTACGGGGTTGAATTTGTCCGTAGGCCRTTGCCTCTGGAGCCAGCTCCATCCAGCCGTGTCCCGAGTGTCCTTCGGTGGGAGCAGTGTGTGGACGCAGCTGGTTCGGGGCCTCGGGGAGGACGGCACGTGTAAATCGATAGCCAGGCCACGTGTTGCACGAGGAGGGTCCACCGGGAGCGTCCGCTTGTGTCTGCAAATCCCACTGCGGTTCGTGCCAGAGCTCAGCTCGAGCCCAAGCGCTGCCAGGCCTAGCGCTGTGTGGGGTTATATTTATCCCCCGTGCACAGCTGCGTGGTTTGCACATAGGGTGAATCAAAACTCCAGCTCTAGGACCACAAGAGCAAGGGTTGGTGCCCGTGAGCTCAAGCCTCCTCAGGAAAAAGACAGAGGTGCCTGTACCCCCCTGATCTGCTCCTGGACCTGTGGACTCAAGCGCTGCAGTGCCAAAGAGCAGAGGAGGTGTTGGGTGCCAGCTCTGCGTCTGTGACCGTGTTAGGCACTTGGCTCTGTGTCTTTGCTAAGCGCCCGTGCAGTGTTGCAGGATGTTCAGCAGCTCCTCAAGGACCTGGGGATGTCTGAAATGCCGTAGGCGAGCGCGGGGCAGCACATCTGCGGGGACGGAGTCAACAGCTCTGACCGGGGCCTGGCGCCGCGGGTAACGAGGCGCAGATGAGGGGAAGGGAGTGTTTTCCCTGGCAGTTCACGTGGACTCAGCTTAATACATGATTTAGAGGGTTTGAAAGCCGGGCCTGGCTGCCGGGGAAGGGAGCGTGAGCACTTTTATATATTGCTTTTCAGATATTTAATGGCCCAGTGCAATCTAAATAGGGAAGTACTTTGGGGGTGAGATTAGCACAACATAATCACATCTTAAAAGGCCTTTGGAGACACAAAGCATGTCTGCTTCCCTATTAATTACTCGCTGTTAATAAAGCCGGGGTCAGGGCCAGAGGTGTTTGCTCCGGAGGGCCGGGGCCGCCTTTGCAGGGAGCCGCGCGCTCTCTCATGGACACGTGTGTGAAATGAGGGTCCTGTCCTCCTCGCTGCAACCATCGCCTCCCCGCACACGGCTCCAGCCGGGGAAACTAATGGCCCACATTCCTTCAGCAGCCTTTAAAACTAATTTGCCTTATACTACCCCAAAAGGGCTATGCCTTTCCAAGGGCCCAGAACACCTCCGAGTGCTATAAAATAATAATAGCYGGGGCGTTCTCAGCACGGGAACTTCCTGCTATGATTGATTTCCAATTTGCRATGAAAAGACAGCCTTCTGTGTGTCTGGGGAGAGGGCCGGAGCAGCTGGCTGGCAGTCAGGATTTAGCCTCCTCCACCACCTAGGGGCAGAGCCCAGAGGGACAAGACTGTGTTCCTGTGGTGGGAATTAGTAGCAGTTCCCATCCGGGCAGCCCTTGCTGCATGTGGGCATGTGGTCTGCCCTAGGCTGCCCCATTGCTGAGCATGGGATCCTTGGGGAACTGATGGGCCCTTGCACACAGCAGGCKAATGCAGGGTACCTGCTAGAGGAGACCAGAGAGAGGAGTGTGAAATGGCCCCACGCGGATTGGGGGACCTCTCGCACCTCTACAGCAGCTGCCTCCTGCTGTGACCCCTGTCCCAGCAAACCGGGGTGACACAGGGAGTCCAAGAGGTGTCTGTGCATGGGCTGCAGCAATGCACCGGTGAGCAGAGCCCCACAGAGCTGTGGGCCCTTTGCTTTCTGAAACAGGGGCCTTGCAGACCGCTGGAAGGCTGCGTGTGAGCATGGGGGCAGCTCTCGCCTTGCACGAGACAGTTTGAACTCAGGCCTGCTTTTCCCAGGCGGGCAGGCGAGGTATCCACGGCTGGTGCTCTCCTTGCCTCCAGCTGCACCAGGAGAACTGTGCAGGAATCGGGTCAATGTGGCTGCAGAGAGGCACAAGAGGAGCTCGGCCGCTAGCCCGGGAGTTGTTTGTGGAGCGGGGGCTGTGTTTCCAGAGCCGCTCGGAGCGCGCGGGTCAGCATGGCTGTAACCCAACACCCCAACGGGAGGGCGCCGGCAGCCCTGGCGCTGTCAGCTGCGGGCGGTGTTTAATGCATGGGGATAGCCGGCACGCTTCCCGACTGCGGGAGCCGTTCAGGGGGACGTGCACAGCAGCACCGAGTGATGCAGAGCGATCCTCCCCTGCTTGCCCTCCCGCTCCGCTGTGGCCGCCGGGCTCCCGAGCAGCAGGGGATGGGAGAGCCTCTGGGCAGCTCAACACTCACTTTTCATCTGCTTTTTCTTCATGTCTCTTGTTTGCTTTCTGAACACAGGTAAAGTTTAGGCACCAGCAGCAACCTGCAGAGARGATGTCCCAAAACTTTCCCCAGAGCACCTTCTCGTGCTCCCATCCTCCTGGATGCTCCTTGCACGCGATGCCTTCAGTCCCTGTGCTGGAAAAGAGGTGAGTGCTCAATCTCTATGTTGTCTACAAGCTGCTTGTGGATCTGCAGCCTCTTCCATGTGCTCCCTCAGTTGGTGTGACCATCCTTGCTGCCATGCCYTGGTGGGGACCAGAGCAGAGGCTGAGGCTGTGTGCACCCTCGGAGCAGCACCAGGCCRCATGTCCTGCTGCAGTCAGGGAGATGCCACAGCCCTGAAGTTACAACATGTGGTTCCTACCACCTCCTCACACACTTGCGACATGCAAGTGAGACCGCCTGGCCACGAGCCACCCGCCTCTGCTCGCGGTCTGCCCGCCGAGGGCCGCGGCGCTGCTGCCGGTGCAGCCCCACGCGCTGGGGCCCCCGTGGGCGGCCAGGGGGAGGCTCTCCAGCAACCGCCTTCCTTGTGGCTAGCAGGGGAGGGTGGCCACAAACACCTGCAAGGGATGGGGGATTTGCAAAACAACCCGGGGTCGTGGGTGGTGAGGAAACCGCCAGCCCCATCTYGCAGCAGCAGGACCTCGGCAGGCTGCAGATGTGACCCCGCCTCGTCTGCACAAGCGCCTGTGGCTGCTCACAGCGACCGAGCTGCTTGCGGTGGGGAGCATCCGTGCAGGCACGTGGGGCCTCCGTGCTCCTGCTTCACCCCGCGAGCTGCTGCTGGCTGCAGCGCCCGGCTGCTTCTCTYGGGGGGTTCCCGAGAGCAAGAAAAACCCGCCGGCGCATCCTTCTGTTGGGAAAGGGGAGAGCCTGGCAGGGCGGAAGTTGCCTATTTGTTTAAGGTGCAAGCGAGTTATGTTAATCTGCCGCCTGTTTGTATTTCTTTAGAGGATCCGTGTGCTTGGGAGCGGAGATGGAGTCTCCCCTTTGTGCAGGGGCAGTGTCAGGCTATTGGGAGCAGAGGTGAGAAAACACAGTGGGGCAGATGGAACCTGCTTTTGGAGTGAAAGATTTTTTTCGGCTATTTATGATAATTAGTGGGAAACGCTCCTCAAGCGTTTCAGATGATTCTGTAATGAAGTTGGGCAGAATGTTCCCGCTTTGTTCCCCGGGAACCATTAAAAATCCCCCTTCTTTGGCTGCCTTAATGCAATGCTGAAAAGGCACAATGGAAGAAAAGTCGCTCTGGGCAGGCCGGAACGCCTCCTTCCCCCCTCCACACAGAGCCCTTTAGAGCCGAGATTTTCTGGGTTATAAACCCTGGTGCTCCTGCAAACGCTGCTGCCGGGGCTCCTTTGGCAACGCCGATGCCTTTCTGCACACGTGAGCCCTGGCGGGCCCGGCCAACTCGCCACCGCACGGCTCGGAGCGGCACAAAGGGCTGCGCGCGCCGGCCCGGATGAGCAAGGGCAGTCGGAGCGGGAGACGCCGTCGCTCAGCGCGTGCTTGTGGTCGGGCAGATGTTGCTGCACCTTGGCCGGGGTGAAATGCCTCGGCTGAGAGGGCTGCGAGGCTTGAGACCTGTGTGGAGGGGAAGTGGAGAGTCATCCTGCACCACTGCTTGTCCTGGGCCTCATCCCRTTCCGCCTGCTTATCCTGTACAATCTGTTGTGGTTTGGGTGCACCACTGGAAGGTGTGTGAAATCCAGCAGCCTCTAYCCTTCTGGATGGGGAGCAAGAGCTTGGTCTTTCTCTTCCTGCTTCTGGCAATAAGGGCTCCTCAGCAGAGATGTCACCTGCCTGATGTCAGGTATCTCTCAGTGCTGTTTCCCCAGGGGCGATGTGGGAAGATAATGCGAGCTGTCCTCCTAAAGTGATGATAAAAAGGGAAAATGCCAGGAGCTTTTAGCATAAT